AATGGTCATCCTATTTTCCAGAACTTGACTCACTTGAATCTCACGAATGGTCCCTGATTAGAAGTGGGACCTGTCGAAATTGCAGTCACAGTTTGGAGTCCTAGAATGCAAAGGCTGAAGAATGGCTGGGAAGAAATGGAGAAGGATACCTGCGTGCCACATGCGATCAAGTCGAAAGCAAACTTTGACTTCTATTCGCGCTCACGGGGGATATTTTGAAATGCGACTTTAGCATGTTGTAGTACATAATGTTAGCTAGCGTGCATAGAAATTACATCGTCTTTCGCAGTTGAGAAGTTCCAAATACATTGCTATAAATCGGCGCAAATAATTTTGGGACACCCTGTAGATAATCATTATGGATGTATAGTAACGGGTGTGGTGCGATTCACGCGCCAATATAATGAGGTCATCGGACAAATCACGCTAAAACATCATTCCTACCATGAGATGGACCAAATAAATTTGCAGTAGTTCACGGCTTCACCATGAATAGAGCAAATCTCTTTACTATGGCAAAAAAGCCCCTTCGAGACTGAGAATTCACCTCATAGGTCAACAATTTACTTGTCAAACCTTTGAAATAAGAATAACTTTAATTTTTTCGATCCTAGTAAACGCAATCCATCTGTAAACGTGCATAATTGGTCATTTCTTTACTTATTCTACTTATAGGTTCTTATAACTTCCGTTATGATGGTAGGAATGATGTTTTAGCGTGATTTGTCCGATGACCTCATTATATTGGCGCGTGAATCGCGCGCCCCCTATAGTAACAGGTAATACAAACATAATACACACCTGATAATAATATCAAACAGGTTTTGGACAAAGGATGTAAGTATAGAATTGAAGATTATGTCAATAAGAGAACAGTTATAGAATGGATTAATAATGCTAGAGCAGACTATATGAAAGTAATCAAAATCAAGTACAAGTTAAAAAAATAAAATCTGGAAGACATTGGCAACATAATCAAACCTGAACTATTCACTAAGATCAAACCTAGGTTATACCTACAAGGTCTCAATAACGCCACTTCTGTTATAGACAGCAAGTTCAAACGGGAATTGGTCGAACTCCAACATAAGTTCATTTTTTGTCCCCTCGATAAAGCTAGTTACAACTATGGTATTATATGTAAAAAAGTACATCTAAATGTCGTTGTGAAGGAGATGGGACTCAATCAAAGAGTTAACGAATTGGTACATGTAATTATACGGTCTAATCCTTACAAGCTCGTTAACGATAGTAGCTTATGTGACTTCACTTATCGATTGACACAATGAATTTGTACATAATGACTTGATGACTATACCAATAATTTACGACACCCCTGAACTACATAGAGTGCCTACAAACTTAGATTCATTACTGATGCTAGTAGTAATAGTAGCATGAAATCTTTGCTGTATTCCTTGGTAGAATACTGACGTTTATCAAGTCACGCTTCTATAAATATAATAACACCACCAAAGGTAGGAACAGTAATATAGGATAATGGTCTATAACTAATATCAATTTAAGTGAGCAGGTGCAAAACATAAAGATGGACAATATGAAGGTAATTTCCGCAGACTTTAGCAATATGTTCACCAACCTTTCTCGCTACATTATAATGGAAAACATCAAAAAAAGTTTTGAAGTTACGCTAAAAAATAGCAACAAGAAATATATAGCAAGCAAAGGATACAATACCTTCTATACGTATATGTCTTATACTAGATATAACTACTGTACTATAGAGGATTTTCTTTATGCTACTGATTGCTTGCTATCTAACAGCTATTGCAAATTTGCAGAATATTCATTCGCACAAAAAGTGGGGGTTCCTCAATGTAGTAATACAAGTCCTTTGCTAGCAGACCTTACGTTGTCTTATTTGAATATGAATATCCAGTGCTAAGGATCAACACATTGAGACAAATTAACACCTTTTAGGTATATAGACGATTTTTATTGTTGTACATAAGGCAGATACTGATGCAATTCTACAAGAGCTTAAGTAAGTTTGTAAAAATACTCTTGCATTAGAAGTAACGCATGACGATGACTACAGATGTAACTATTTGGTTTACAGATGAAAAAGTAAGATATTTAAATGCATAATATGAAAGATAGTTCGGCTTTTCGAAGTTCCTTTCCGAACGTTTCCCACATTACACTACTAACGTTTCCAGAGGTATTAAACTTAGTACCAATACTCAGAAGTTTTAGGAATTGTTAGAACTTGTACATATAAAAATGATTTTCTAGACAGATTGACGTATATGGGATATCAAAGATAGATTAAAGTTTATGGGATATCGAACATGTCAAGTGGTTTACAGTAAGGATAATTTTATTACAGTTCTTGAAAAATGCCTAGTCAGAAACAAGCGTATACTCTATGAATACGGCTCGAGATAAAAACCAGTTATTAGAATCTTCGGCACATACAACGATAATATTAGTTATGCAACTACTTGATTTCCTAGTCAGGTCAAGTTAATACCACAATAACCTAAAATACTCTAAAAGTACAGAAAGTGCAGTCTAGTAATTTTCGAGTTACAACCTCCTTTATACTACTTGTGCATTCTTTGAATTTCAACTTATTATACATAACGAGTTTTATTCTTTTGTTCTCTCTTACCCTACTGGTGAGCGCGAATTGAGATTATTATCTAGTTTGACTTCCGTCTAGGGCACGTGCAAAACGGAAGTTGAATTACTTCTTTGATTTATCCCCCCTTAATTCAATAAGTTTAAATGTCAACATATATAGTACTCTACACATATATACATACAACAGGCGACCACGCACGCTATCGCATGCGCTAGGGGCTCTAGCCATGAGGGACGGAGCCACATGAGCTGATTTTCATTATAGACCTTTATCGGCTTTATGAGTTTCCACTCAAACCCCGCCACCTGTGAGCG